AAAGAAAGAAAGAAAGAACAGTCAAGGAAGGAAACTAGGAGACTTTGGAGGACATAAGCAGAGGGTAGTGGAAAGAAGAATAGGAATACTATGGGGTTGGGATTCTCCCAAAGGCTCATGTATTAAAGTTGTGGTTCTTAGCACCTGGCACTATGGAAGTGGTGGACCTTTAAGAGCTGGGCCCAGTAAGAGGTTTAAGTCATTGGGAGTGTGCCTTCCTTTGAAAGACCTGTGGAACTCTGCTGTCTTTTTTCTGGTGACTCAGCCTTGAAAAGTAGCTTTGCTCTAACACTCACTCTGCCAAGATGCATTGCCCAGTCACTGACGGGGCTAACAAACCATAGACTGAAACTTCCAAAACTGTGATCGAAAATAAACTTTCTAAACTGACTTGTCTCAAGTATTTGTTACAGTGACAGAATGCTGATTAACACAAGGATAGAACAGAATAGAGATTTTGTACAAAGAAGAGCACAACTCAAGACTTAGAATACAGCTATCAGTTAATAACAAAGAACAGGTGATAATCTGAGGGACAAAGAGGTAAGATTAGCTGCTGACATAAAGATTCCAGGTAAAAATGTTTAATAAGGGCATTGGATAACATATGACAAAGCAGGTCTCAATTAGAGATATGAGGATTATCAGCAAAGACAGAACAGATCAAGTCATGTGCAAGTCATATGACTCCAGAACTGAATGTAAAAGGTAATAATATACTTTTTCTTCTTGAAACTGTCCTAAAGCACCTTCTATGACCACCTCTGCAGAGCTGGCATAGGCCTTTCCACCAACTTAGAACAACTGCTCCAACTTGTTAGCCTTGCCCAAAGTTCACCTTTTTCATAAACTTTCTCTGATTAATTTCACTTAGTATTCACATTGTTTGTATTATTCATTTTTGCAAACACCAAATATTTTTGTGCATACACATTCTGATTTAATTAAGTTTTACCTGCCTATATACTTACACTCTACCTACAATCTCTTCCAGGTTTTCTGTTTTTTTCCCGAGACAGGGTCTCACTGTTTAGTTCAGGCTGGCCTTAAACTCACTATAGCGCCCAGGTTAGCTTTGAACTTGCAGCAATTCTCCTGCCTCAGCCTCCTGAATGGTGGGATTACAGGTGTGCACCATCATGCCTGGCTCCCTTAGGTTTTTTTAAGAATCACTGAAGGTCTGGGGATTTAGCTCAGTGGTTCTGCCACCTGCCTCGAAAGCACAAGGTCCCGAATTTGATCCCCAGTACCAAAAGAAAAAAAAAAAGGAATTGTTGATGGCACTGTCCACACTTATCCTTTTCTCAGGGATTACAAATCTATAAGCTTCAACCTAAAGTGGAAATAAGGACTGAAATGTACAATACATATTGGGAAACGGGAAGAAAATGTTCAAGTGAGAAGGGGAGAAAGAGGGAGGAGGAAAGAAGGGACAAGAAAAAAAAAGAGAATAGAAAGAAAAAAATGTAAACAAAGCTTTTGTAAATGAGGGTTGAAAAAGGGTTGAAGCGGGGGCAGAATGGGAAAAAAAGAAGTAAGATATACCATGTACAGGAACAAATTCCCTTATGATGAATGTTATTATTATGTATATCTAAAATGCACCAATAAAGGTTTTGCTAAACAAACAAACAAACAAAAAAACCAACCTACAATCTTCTAGCAAAGTATCTGGTATACACAGTAGATATTCAATAAGTATTTGCTGAGTTAATAAGGAATAGGAAATCTATAAAGTCCCTTTCATCACATATATTAGTATAGCAAAGAGGTTGTCTCTCCTCCAAGTCTAGGGTACCATTTTGGTTAGTAGTTCTTAGAGAAATTGTGCCTTTACTGATGTATTAACTGATGTAATAATCATCAACTAAATATACTACTGATTAAATATTAAGTTAAGCTTGCATAGCTTGGGTGAAGTCCAAATCTCTCATGGTATCAAAAGAAAAAGGCCATTTTGGTTTCTATGTTTGTCTGGCTGCAAATGGCACAAAAGACTGTTGCATGATGTGAGAGCAGTTGCTATGAGTGCTCCCTTGGGAATGGTGCATGGAAGCGAGACAATATCTAAAACAACTGGTGAGAGGTTCCAGGTCACCCAAATTGGCTTAAAAAGAGTCCCACTGACTCAAACAAATGTCTTGTCTGAGTTCTGGAAATGTGCCTTCAATGGTGTCTGGGATCACAAGGAAAGCTGAATTTACGAACTGATAATCTGCCTGCTGGAGGAAAACTGACACCCAGTGAGTGGAAAGGAAGCAGCCAGGGTAGGTCGGCTTTTTGCCTTCTTTTGTTTGCCCGCACACAGTAGATAGGGAGAAATGTCAAAGGCATCTTTTGTCTGTAAATCTTCCAAAGTCTTAATAAATAAGAGGGAATACAGCGAAAAAAGCTAGAACAAAACCTCAACACACTTATTGTCAAAAACCACAGAACACAATCTTGTTACTAAAAATCAGAGTGGAGAGCACAATAGAAACTTGGGAGCTTTTAGTGTTCCTTTCTCCTGATTAAATGCAGATCACATAAGGGGTCTTGATGGGAGAAGGGGAGTACAGCTCCCAGTACATCTGGTCCCTGGTATTAATCTTAACTGTCGGGTGATAGCAAGGCACGTGGCTTTTAGGGCAGCAAATACCTGCAATGATGACTGAGTCAGTTCGGGCTGGGCCAAATTTCAATGTCATCTCATGCTTGTGTTTATGAACTGCCAGGTGGTCCTCATTTGTAAATCTCTGAAATGAAACAAAAATGGAGATGTGAAAACAAACAAACACCAATTCAGTTCCCTTTAAAAATGTCCTACCAAATATGTTGCAGTGAGGTTGGTCCCTCGAAAGGGGAAATAGAAAAAGAAAAAAATGGAAGCAATGAAAAAGGAAAAGAGACAGAGGAAAAAAGGTAGTAGAAAGAAGGGAGGAGAAGAGAGGGGGAGACCACAGCACCAAATGATTTGTAATATCTAGTCCAAAGAAGAGAAGTGGACAGATTGTTGGTGAAGTGAGATCCAGGCAGGAGGCTGCAAATGAAAAAAACATTAAGGCAAACTTGTAGCGAACAAGGGGAAAACAATTTTTAATAATAATAATAAAGAGAGAAGAAGGTGGAAGGCTAGGCACTCATTGGTCATCACAAAAATAGGACATTTCAGATCGAAGCTCTCCATGGTGGGGCTGATTGGACTACTTTATGAGGGGCTAACAGGGAGATAAATTATGCAGGATTAGGAGAACCATTTAACTTCCTGGCCCCCACAGTGCTGCAGCAGGAGCCTATGCGGCTATTTGGCTCAGGTTTTTAATGAGCCAGGATGGAGCTGTACAGGACCAAGGCCCATTGGCCAGCAATAATGGCATGCACCAGTCGCATCGGCCAAATGCTGGCTCCCCTTATCGGGCAGCCCGCCTGGGCTTCATTAGCCATAAAGGGGCCAGTACAATGCTGCTGGCTGTATAAAGGCAGAATAAAAACACAAGAAAAAAAATTGAAGGGTAGGGAGGAGCCTGCAGGCAGGATAATGAAAGAGAAAAAAGAAATGGTATAGAGATTGTGTTTGTTTAGGGGTTGGGATGAAAGGACAATGAAGAGGTGAAGTCTACCCCAGTTTATTACTAAATAAGACAGGGTTATTGAACTAATTTATGCACCTATCCCTTTAAAAGAAGGTGAAAGGAACAGATGAACAGTAGTAATTCAAAAGAACAGTAACCACAAAATTCTCTTTGAGGCTGATGGTCATGTTCCTTCATGAAAACATGCCTGCTACGTAGCAACTGCTTGCATGTTGCAGTTTTCCACAGCTCCTTTACCAGAGGTTCTATTTGCCTCTTTGTTTCTAAAACTAATGATGGAAGCTGGGCTTTATGGGAGGTGGAATAGGAGGATTCTGAGTTTTAGCCCAGTATGGGTAATTTTAGGATCCACCAAGACCCTATCTCAAAATTTAAAACAAAAGGGGTTGAGGTGGGGATGTAGCCCAATGTGAAGCCCTGGGTTTAATCCCCAATACCATGAATAAATAAAATAAAGTGACTGGTTGCCCCATTTCTACTTTCTTCACTTGATACATACTTTCCACCAAAGTACACCTATACCCCTCTTTCCCACAACTCTTTGGAAAAAACAAATACATAAGACTTGGTCTCATCCATTTAGGAAAACGACACCAAACTGTCTCAGCTCTGCTATTTTACTCAGACATAGCTTTTCTCCCAGTTCACGTTTTGTAAATTTTAAGATTCAAAGTCCCAGGCCAGGGATTTAACTCAGTGGTTTCGGTGCCTGCCTTGCAAGCCCAAGGACCTGAGTTCGATCCCCAGTACCCCCCCAAAAAAAAGAAAAAGAAAAAAGATTCAAAGTCTCTTAAAAAACAAACAAACAAACAAACAAACCCCTCAAATTTTTCCAAGCAAGGCATAAAGGCCTGAAGGGCGTTTTCAATTAAAAGTGTGATGAAGAGGGCTCGGGATTTAGCTCAGTGGTTCTGCCGACTGCCTAGCATACGCAAGGTTCCAAGTTTGATCCCCAGTACCAAAACCAGAACAAAACAAAAAGTGTGATGAAGATCCAAGAAGTCTGTTAACCAAGGCATGATGTTTGCAGGATGTCAGAGGTCTGGGAGTCCTGGTACTGTATTTGATAAAAAGAAATAAGCAGACGTAGAGGCTAAAATGGAGAAAAATATCCTTTTAGGATGACATGAAGAATAGTGGGTTAAACATATTTGTTGGTACTAGTCATGATATATCATAGCGATTTAAAAAAAATGTTTTAAAAAAAGTAAGGAAATTTGAGGTAAGTAATTTGAGAACATTTGTACAATGTTCTAGAAGCTAGAAGAATGACTTTAAAGCAATAAGTCCTCTTCTTCAGAAATATAGTTTGCTCAAAGTGGGCAGAGATTTTTTTTTCAGTACAGGAAACGGAACTCAAGGCCTTACACTAAGCTATATCCCTAACCCTTTTAAAATGTTTTTACTTTGAGACAGGGTCTTGCTAAATTGCTAAGCTGCCTAGACTGGGGTCTACCCAGCTTTTCTTTTCTTATTTTGTAGTTTGGGGACTTGAATCCCAGACCTCACACATGCTAAGGAAACATGTTATCATTATGCTACATCCTTATAGGATGTAAACATTTTTAAAACAGGGCTTATTTATTTTAAAACAGGGCTTTGAAGGCCAGGCATGGTGGCACACACCTGTGATCCCAGCACTCAGCAGACTTAGGGTTGGATCACTTCAAATTTGAGGCCAGCCTGGGCTACATAGTGAATTCAAGGCCAGCCTGAACTATACAGCGAGACCTGTCTCAAAAAAACCAAAAAACAAATAAAAAACACCAGAGTCTTGATAATTTCCCAGGTTGGCCCTGAAATTCAGATCTTCCTCCCTCAGTCTCCTGGGTAGCTGGGATTATATGTGCATTGCACTTCATCTGGCTAAACCATCCCCCCCTTTTTTTTTTTTCCTGGTAGCACTGAGGATTGAACCCAGGTCCTTTGCACTCAGCCATTTTCCCAGACCCTCTTTTTATTTTGATGCAAGGTCTCACTAGATTGCTAAGATGTCCTGGTGAGCTCAACCTTGGGATCCTTCTGCCTCAGGCTCACAGAGTGCTGAGATTATAGGCGAGTGTCACCACATCTGGCTCAGTTATACTATGTTAAGGAAGATCAAGAACTCGATTAGTAATGAGTTGGTGGTACACACCTGTAATCCCAATGTGTACCACTGTACTTGTGGCCTGGGACTATCTTTTTGTTTTGTTTTGTTTCTTGGGGGTAGCAGGGATCAAACCCAGGACCTTGCACTTGCCAAGCAGGCATGGCTCCAGGAGCTTCATCCCCAGCCCCCTATGACTGGATTGTTCCTACTATTTTCAGTATGATTCTAGTAATCTGAGATAGGAGGGAGAGAATAAAAGCTTACTGAAGCTTTTATCAAAGTCAGTGCCAATCTGGCTATTTTGAGTATTCAATTCTATTTTCTCTCATTTATTAAGTGTTAACTCTTTAGGAATTCTCTATATCAGGGGCTAGAGGTGCAGCTTAGTGACAGATGACTTGCCTTGAGTGTGAGGCTTAGTAGTAGGGAGAAAAAAATTTCAATCAGTGTCCCAAATTTCCATCACTCATGGCTGTGTTATCCTCCCCACTGGCCTCCTACCGTGCTGGGGCATTGAAGCCCTGGCCATGACAACAGATCACTTTTGAACTTCATGCTTAGGGACTCTTCTCTATGAAAGCAATTTCTCAGTTAAAATAGCCACAATTATTAAGTGTCAAAAATTTTTATCTTAGCAAATATACAGATTATTCCACTGGTTTAAAATGGGCTCCCAGAAGCTTTTCCTTTTAAAATTATTGTCTTACATTCAAAGTTAGAAAGTTCATTAACACATGTTCTTACTTCTCTCTTTCAAGTTAGAAAAGATAGATTTCTCTCCTCTATTATTTCTATCATGTACCACTAAAATCCAGTAGAGTCAAACAGAAAGATTTTTAGATGAATACTTTACAATGTTGTGCTACAGCTAACTCGTACTGTCTTACAAGAGTCAACTCTAGGGCTGTATTCCCATCACTGTTTCCAATGAGGTCACATCAATTTCACACTACTATGATTTTGATCTAAAATGTTCCTCAAAGTCTCATGTGTTCAGAGGTGGGGCTTTTGGAAAATGCTTTGATTATGCAGGGACACTGTACACATTAGTAGATGAATCCACTGACAAGTTCACAGCATAATATCCAGTCAGGAGGCAGGCCTCTGGAAGCACAACTTGGCCAGCATGTTCTTGTCTTCAGCTCCCCACTTCTCTCTATGCTACCTGTCATGGATTGAGAAGCCTTGACTGCTATGTCCTTCCACCAGGATTTTTCTGGGTTCGAGCAAGCTGACCATTTATGGACTGAATTCTCTCAAACTGTGAGCTAAAGGGCTGGGAATGTAGCTCAGTGTCTCCGCGCCTGCCTGGTAAGCACTAGGTCCTGAGTTCGATCCTCAGCACCAGAGAAGAAAAAAAAAAAAATTCCTCAAACTGTGAGCTAAAATAAACTTCTCTTTAAAAAGAAAATCACTGTCTTCTAGCTGATGTGGTTGTGCATGTGAGGATTGCCATGTGTTTGAGGCTACTACATAGTGAGGTCTCACTACATAGGTGAGACCTTATCTCAAAAAAAAAAAAAAAGCCCACCTAAGAATCTGGCTCCTCTGTTTGTTAACACTGCCACTGCCAATGAGCTTTTTTTTCTAGTCTTACCTATAATTGGTAAATAGCTGCTCACCATGGTTGTAGGGTAAATGATAATTTTCAATATATGTGTAGTTACTATCTTTCTGCAAGGCAGCAGAAGGCCATTATTATTCAAAATGTGGACTGAACAATTTGAGACACAGTGGATTAGAAAAGCAGTTTATGGGGCCAGGGATTTAGCTCAGTAGTTCTGCCACCTGCATTGCAAGTACGAGGACCTGAGTTTGATCCCCAGTACGCCCCCACCAAATTTTATATATCTTGAGCGAGGGTTTATATGGTAATTTAGGGTTTTTGTTATTTTGTTATTTTTTTCCTGTACTGGGAAAGATTGAACCTAGGGTCCTACCACTGAACAACATCCCACCTTTAAAAAAATTTTTTTTTTCTTAGTTTTGAGATAGGGTTGTACTAAGTCATAGAACTGCCTAGGTTGGGCTCAAACTTAAAATCCTCCTACCTCAGATCCTAGAGAGCTGG